GTCATCTTGGCCTGCGTCTTTAACCATCTCAACGTCTCATGATCGGAATAGACTTTGAAGTGCCTCCCAAGCAAGTAGTGTTTCCAATGTTCTAAGGCTTGCCTGAGAGCGTAGAGTTCCCTCTCATAGGTAGATGTCGCGACCTTTTCTGAAGGCATTCTGGCGGACATGAACTCTACTGGCCTATAACCATGGCCATCGTCTTGCTGCAACACAGCACCTATGCCGTACTGACTAGCGTCGGTAGTGACGACAAAGGGCAAGGACGAATCGGCTACCTTGAGGACTGGATATTCTATCAATGCCTGTTTCAACTTTTTCATAGCAGACGTGCAGTCCCTATCCCACTTCCAGATGGTCTCCTTCCTGAGCAATCTGCGAAGGGGCACAGCGATGGTGGAGAAGTTCCTCACGAACTTCCTATAGTAGTTGGCTAGCCCTAGAAACGACCGTTACTCTGTCAACGTACTCGGTGTCGGCCAATCTCTAATCGCTGCAATATTGCTCTCTTCGGGCTTGATGTCGTCTCCGTTTAAGACATGGCCTAAATACAAAACTTGGGTCTTCGCCCACTCGCACTTCTTTTCGTTGATCTTGAAGTTAGCCTCCCTCAGCTTCTCCAAGACCTGCTTGAGATGACCCTGATGCTCTTCGAGGGTCCTGCTAAACACTAAGATATCATCCAGATAAACTACGACAAACCTATCTAACCAAGGCCTAAACAGGTCATTCATACACCGCTGGAAAGTTGCTGGCGCGTTGGTTAGTCCAAAGGGCATCACAATAAACTCATAGTGCCCGTATCTAGTCCGGAACGCGGTCTTGCACTGATCATCAGGGTGAACCTCTATCTGATGATATCCGGACTTCAAATCTATCTTAGAGAAATACTTGCACCCCTGCACTCTATCTAGGAGATCATCTATCCTAGGCAGCGGCTCAACATTCTTCACGGTGATAGCATTCAGACCCCTATAGTCTATACACATCCTTAGCTCTCCCTCCTTCTTGGGGACAAAGAGAACAGGTGCTCCAAAAGGAGATGAACTGGGCCTAATCCAACCCTTTTCAAGGAGCTCGTCCAATTGCTTGTGAAGCTCCTCTAACTCCCGTGGGGACATCCTATACACGGTGCCCTTAGGAGTTCTACTCCCAGGCTCTATCTCAATACGCTGTTGGATGGGCCGCGGCACTGTCCCTGTCGGCGGCTCAGTTAGGTCCTTAAACTCTTCCAGCAACTTGGCTATAGCAGGGTCCATAGGCTTTTCTTCCTTAGGCTCAGTGACTGGCCTAACATATGCTACAAAGACCTGTTCTTCTAGCTGCTCCCTTTTCACTAATCGTGCAAATGCAGGAGCACTAAGGCAGCAATGTGCCAAGGAGTCATCTACTCCTGACACATGGTACAGACGCGCAGTCTTGACGTCGCCTGACGGACTAGGGAGCCTACACTCATGCTCCCTCAAGTGGAGTGTGGCCCCGGCTGCCTCTCCCCAGTCCATACCCAGGACTATATCGAACGGGAGGCTATCCTTTACGAGGAGAGTCAGGGAATGGAGAACTTTCTCTACTTTCCCATCCTTCTCTAGGCGAAAATACGCCTGGACTCCCTCTACGTAGTCTTCTACTCGCATCGTGCGATTATCCGCAAGGATACTGACTACAGGGTCTTCAGCTTCTGTAGCGCCTTCCTACTAATATAACTACGAGTGGCTCCACTATCCACTAAGGCGCCAACTCTACCTCTAAAAATCTATGTATCTACCAATATAAGTTGCCCTTTATTCTCCTTTTTCATCTTGGCCCAGGCGGGCATCCTCTCTTTCAACTCTTTGGCCACGCCTGTGAGGGAGGTGTCTAGAGAGACCCTAAAACAAGCAGTCTCTGGGCAGCTATCTAGACACTGGCCTGCAACCTCTGCCATAGGCACATGTGGTGTGGGAGTCTCCTGCCGGCTAGCGCTATGTTCCCCACATGGCCTAATGGTAGGGGCAGTTGCTACCCCTACCGGCGGCTGCCTTTTGGCCCTTGAGCAGCCATTCGGGTCTCTCGATACTTAGGACAGTATTTGATGATATGGCCCGGGTCACCGCAGAAAATGCACTGGCCCCGGTCCAATCGCTATTGCCATAAACTCTGGTCCAGACCCAAAGTTTCCCAAGGCCTACCCTGGGGTAGCCCTGGGTGCCATCCGCCTACCCTATAGGGAGACCTGTTCCTAGGACGGTTTTGCGGGGGACCTTGACCCCTTCCTCCCGCTTGGCGGTGTCCTCCTCTGCCGCCAACCCGCTGGTCGCCCTGAAACCGGCTCCCTGAGGCCCGACCCCCTTGGCCCTGGCCTCGTCCTCCTCCTTGTGGCCTCCCTCCAGTCGCGACAGCAGCGTAAGTTCTCCCCTAACCCACACCGCTGTCCTCCTCCTCTAACCCCCACTCAATCTGGTCATAGGGGATCTCATCCACACTACCCTCATCTAAAGTTAGGACAAGACTATCCTTAGTCTYCACTTGCCCCGAGATAGTGCGGCCCTTCCATTGCTTTCCCTTATCTAAGTCCTTGTGCCAGAATGTAGAAACTGACACCGACTTTGCTTCMAAGGCCACCACTTCACGGCTAAGRGAATCGTACGTGGTGGCAGGATCTTCGCTCTTGGCGAAGAAATGCCCACGGAAGGCTTCGGGCATCGCCCGATAGAAGAGGGCGACCAACTGGGTGTCTGTGACCCCGTGGTTAGGTACCGCCACTAACTCGTTCATTGTACTCTTAAGTGCCCTGGCGCTCTTCCACTTACGAGCGTGCATTGTCTGGAGCTTATCTGAGGCTTTGACACTTCGAGCGACATCTGCAAACCGCTCGCGCAACAATTTCAGAAAGTCAACGAGGGGGGTGAATGACGAGTATGCAACTGCATCATCATTGCAGTTGGCAGCACGAACGAGGGACCTTGCGAAGCTGGCAGCCTCATCTCTAAGCGCGTGGGTCGCAATTAGAACATGCTGATCCGGGGAGACCTGTTGCAAATGCACATAGGTCTTGACATTGGCCTCCCAATGGTCAAAGTTTTCTTCCCGTTTTCCACTGTAGGAATCAGGGAATTTGACTTTGACCGGCTCCCGACGAGGACGTGCTTCCTCCTCCTTGGGAGCTGCCGCCTTGACGCCTTCAATGGCGCCAGCACAAAACCGCTCAGTCTTGTCGAGGCGGTGGCCCACCTCGGCTCCTACAGCTCCCACCAACTCACGAGCAAAGTCCCGAAATCCCAATCGTATTGAACGCACAACTGTATGCTGACTCCTACTGAAGTCATACTGCTCTGCCTGAATTTGCGCTAAGCGTGCGACGTTTCAGGCTATGACCTCCATTTTCTTTGGGAGTTCAGCCTAGGCGGCTAATTGCTCTTCTATCTTTTTTACCTCCTCCAATTCTTCCGCCGCCTCCGCTGCCGCATCCACTCTCCTCTTCTTCTCCCTCATCACTGCCAGTTTCCATTCCATCCTCTTCTCATCTTCCATCGCCTGCCGCTTTATGACATCTTCTTCTGCGTCCCAAGCTCTCATAGTGGCTTCCTGATCATCCTTGGGGATACACATCGCCACCTCTTCTTCTTCRCCCAGGGATAAGTTGGCGACCCATTCTGAAATCCGTTTTTCCATCTCAGCATCCCTGCTGCCAGTGTACTGCCCCCTCTTCCTTTGCAGTAGCGTTTCATCTTCCTCCTCTTCCTCTTCCACCTCTTTCAGCTTCTCCTCTTCTTCTTTCTTTATTCTCTCTCTCTCTCTGGACATCTCTTCCTCTATCTTCTTCAGCTTGGCCGCCTGCTCCTCCTGTAGGGCCTTCTTCTTGGCCTCTTTCTTCTCCTTTCTTTCCCTCAGGACGGCGGCCATCTTCTCCTCCTCCTCCTTCGTGTACGGCTTAGTGGAGGCACCACCCCGGGTATCTACCCTGCACGTAAAGGTGTGCCAGAACCCCAGAGGAAAAAGGAGACGCCAGAGGGTCCCCCAGAGGGAGAACCCAACAAGCAACCCATACATCGGATAGTCATCCATCGTGGTGTCAGGTGCACGATAAGAGTCCCACTCCTCACCACTTAGACCTACCCGGACACTGACCCACTGACTGACTCTCTACGGTCACCGACTCTAGACTACTCTAAGGCTGTCACTACTGAACCAATAGCTGATCTGGAGGCATTTAAGGAGATCCCCCAAACTCCGCAAGAATTCTTTAACGTCGCAGTCAGAACGACGTGATCAGCGTGGTTCTGCCTGTGCTTTCAACCCACAACTCAGCCTTTCCGGCCTACTGTGCCACACCGAGCAGCCCGCCGGTCTGTACCGGTCCTTGGAGGGGTTCGTGTCCCCCGGGACAGTCGAGTCGTCAGACACAAATCATCAGCCTTACTAGGTCCGGTAGGGGGGTGGTTCAAACAGGCCCTCAACACTTAAAGACTGGCTGGTGTGTCAGCCCCAGCTGCCGTTCAAGCCCACTGTGCCCTACCAACCGTTTCCAGCCGGTCAGCACCGGTCCTTGGGAGGGTTAGGCCCCCCTGGAAAGTTGGATCAGCCACAGCCTTAGCTCTACAAGGTCAGACAAGGGTTTCGTCATCCAACCCTATCCTTCATCCACAGAGTACTAACACCTAGGACAGGAGAGACTCAATGCAGAAAGGAAAGACAGACAGACTCAAACTCAGCATGTACTGTAGGGTGTGTGCACATCCACAGGGTAAGGGGATAGGCTAAGGGCTCAGCGAGATATCACCAACTCCAGCTTGGTCAAAATCTTGGTCAGCAACTCCGGTCAACGCCTTGGTCAACGCTGAGTCAACGCGGACAACCCTCGGTCAACACTCGGTCAACCCCCTTGGTCAACGCCTGGTCAACCCTCTGGTCAACGCCCGGTCAACCCTTCACCTCGGCTATGGCTGCCAGCACCTTCACCTTCGTCACCCTCGTCACTTACTTCCCCTTCCTTCACCTTCTTCTCCCTCACTGTCTTTCTTCTTCTATCTCTTTTTTTTTTTTTTTTTGTCACCCTTGGCTATGTCTGTCTTCTTCTCCGATATCCTCGCACTTCTCTCTCTCCTCAGTCTCTCCTTCTCTGTCCTCCCTCTCTCTCTCCTTCAGTACCCTGTGTTGATGCTTCGCGGCTATGGCCGCTGTCTTCCTTCTCCACCGGACTACGCAACTCGCCTCACAGGTAAGTGACAACCAATCTTGGATCGCTCATCTCTCTCTCTCTCTCTCTCTCTCTCTCTCTCTCT